GGGGGAGGATAAAAACATTTGCCAGAAAGCAAACACGGAGGGAGCTTCCAGAGTCTGTTCTAAATGAACTTGGAAAGGATTTCAACATGACAGAAGTCAATTCCAGAAGGGCGGTCTGAGATTCAACAAAGGTAAGTGGAAAGACCAGGTAAGTTCAAACAGTATTTCTGTATGATATCATGCTAGGGAGTTTTCCCAGAGGACGAATAGAGAGCAGTAACAGCCGAGCCAGAGGAGGGGAGCGACGCCGTTCCCGGTTCCTGTCGCTGGGGGAGAAGGAGCTCAAGATGCCACTTGCTCAACTTTGTACTAAGGCCCAATAAAGGGAACCAAAAGAAAGGAAAAAAAGCAGAATCAGACCCATAAATGCAGAGAACAGTCTGATGGTTGCCAGAGGGGAGGGGGAGTTGGGGAAAACGGGTGAAGGCAAGAGAGATACAGGCCTCCAGTTATAGGGTGAGTAAGTCATGGGGATAAAAGGCACAGTACAAGGAATACGGTCTATGATATTGCAATTTTTAAAAAGGCCACCAGTTCTCCAAAGTGGTTGTTAGAGTACTTTTGAGAGTTCATATTTTTACATTCAAATACTTGATCTGGTTGAAATTTGTTTTGGTATAAGGAGTCGGAGGCCTGACATTAATTTGTCTAAATAGCTAGGCACGTATCACACATTCCATTTTTTACCACTGATTTAAAAAAAAAATTTCTTTTTAACGTTTATTTATTTTTGAGACAGAGAGAGAGACAGAGCATGAACGGGGGAGGGTCAGAGAGAGGGAGACACAGAATCTGAAACAGGCTCCAAGCTCTGAGCTGTCAGCACAGAGCCCGACACGGGGCTCAAACTCACAGACCACTGAGATCATGACCTGAGCCGAAGTCGGCCGCTTAACCGACTGAGCCACCCAGGCGCCCCTACCACTGATTTTTAAAGACACCTTTTCTCTCGGAAGGCATACAGGCATTCGCACACACGTGGTTTTGCTCAGTTTGCCTTTGGAACCTGACAGACTACCACTAAGGTTCATCTGGAAAAACCAGCAAAGAGGGATGGAGAGCCCTAGCAGGACCGCCTCTGAGCGCACAGGCCGGGCCGTGCTCAGCAGCTCCTGGGCACCTTCTAGGGGCTGCAGCGTGGACAGCACCCCTGGCCGAGTCACGGGGCAGCCTATGCGCCAGGCCCGGCACACATTACAACCTTGGATGGAGCTACGGTAACGAAACCAGTTCTCTTAGTCACTGGGACAGAATGGAGAACACTGACCAGAGGATTCCACGTGCAGGTCTGCTCCTAGACCCTCATACCATTAGTTGTCAGGGAGGAAGCTTCTGGGGGGTAAGTGTGCTCACTGCTCCATTAGTGATGGGTTCATGGAAATACACGTCTGTCCGCACTCATCAGACTGGACACTTTAAATGTGTGCAATTTGTCATCTCGATAAAGTGGTTTTAATCTCAAATATTTAAAACTCATTTAAAAGGAGAAACAATTTAGCCAAGGTGTTCATATAGCTAATAATCAGATGAGCTGGGATTGGAGCCCCTTCCACTCAGTTCCTGGTTCTTGTTTTCTTCCATTGGCGATATCCATCATATGAGATAACTTTTCTTAAAGTTAAAATGATTTTCATGTTGCTAATATATAGCTTCAGTTGAATAGCCAAAAGCTGACCCTAAATGACTATCCTGTTTACAAAAATATTTTTTGTTTCGATAGAGAATTTTGTAAACCCATAACAGTATTAATAGGGAACACTTACCTTCCTTTTTCAAAAAGTTTTTAATTTTGTTTACATTCAAGTTAGTCAGCATACAGTGTAGTAACGATTTCAGGAGTAGAATCCAGTGATTCATCCCCTACATATAACACCAGTGCTCATTCCAACAAGTGCCCTCCTTAATGCCCTTTACCTATTTAGCCCATCCCCCCCCCCCGACTTCCCCTCCAGCAACCCTCAGCTTGTTCTCTGTATTTAAGTCTCTTATGGTTTGCCTCCCTCTCTCTTTTTATCTTATTTTTCCTTCCCTTCCCATACGTTCATCTGTTTTGTTTCTTAAATTCCATATGAGTGAAATCATATGATATTTGTTTTTCTCTGACTGACTTACTTCACTTAGGATAATACCCTCTAGTTCCATGCACGTTATTGCAGGTGGCATGATTTCATTCTTGTTGATAACCGAGTAATACTCCATCGTGTGTGTGTGTGTGTGTGTACCACATCTTCTTTATCCACCACATCTTCTTTATCCATTCATCCATCAATGGACATTTGGGCTCTTTCAATGATTTGGCTATTGTCAATAATGCTGCTAAAAACATTGGGGTGAATGTGCCCCTTTGAGTCAGCATTTTTGAATCCTTTGGATAAATACCTGACAGTGAAATTGCTGGGTCATAAGGTTGTTCTATTTTTAATTTTTTGAGAACCCTCCATACTGTTTTCCAGAGAAGCTGTACCAGTTTGCATTCCTGGAACACTTACCTTCCTTAATACTTCCTGACCTTTGAGTGGGGAAGGCCTGGAGAGGGGGAATCTGGGCGATGAGTGGCTGCCGAGGTAGTTGTTGAATAATGGTGGCAGGAGGCTCGGGGACCTAAAAAGAGCCAGATGATTAGTTTCTTAAACGTGCCCTAGGAGAGAGTTCTCCAGCATCCACCCACCCACCTAACCATCCATCTCTACCTATCCATCACCTACCCATCCACCTGCCCACCCATCCATTCACCCACAAGTCCACCCACCTAGTTACCTACCATCCACCTGCCCACCCACCCATCTCTCTACTCTCCCATCCGTCACCCACCCATCTGCCCACCCACCCATCCATTCATTTATCCATCCATCCAAAAGGAACTTTATTATCTTTTTAAGTAGGCTTCACACACAGCACGGAGTCCAAATGGCGCTTGAATTCACAGCCCTGAGATCAAGACCTGAGCTGAGATCAAGAGTTGGATGCTCAACCAACTGAGCCACCCAGGCACCCCCAAGAGGAACTTAACTGGTTAACCCAACACATTGAATAGATTGCTGAATAGATATTTGAGTCCAGGTATCACATAGGACATGGCGTGTTATAAATATTTGTATCTAGCCCCAAATTCGTATGTTGAAGTTCTAACTTCCAGTGTGACCATATTTGGAGATAGCGCCTGTGAAGAGGTATACAAGGTTAAATGAGGTAATAAATGTGAGATCCTAGTCCAATGGGGCTGGTATCCTCAAAAAAGGAGGAAGGGATGGGGCGCCCGGGTGGCCCAGTCGGTTAAGTGGCCAGCTTTGGCTCAGGTCATGATCTCATGGCTCCCGAGTTTGAGCCTCGCATCGGGCTCTCATCTGTCAGCACAGAGCCCGCCGCTTCAGATCCTCTGTCACCCCCTCTCTCTGCCCCTGCCCGGCTTGTGCTCACCCTTTCTCAAAAATAAACATTAAACTTTTTTTTTTTTTTAAAGAGGAAGAAATGCTAGCGAACTCTCTGTCTGCCATGTCACAGCAGTGAAATGGCAGCTGTCTGCAAGCCGGAAGAGAACTCTCTCCAGGAACCTGATTGGCTGGCACCTTGATCTTGGACATCCAGACTCCAAAACTGTGAGAAAATAAATTTCTGCTGTTTCGGCTGCCTGGTTTGTGGCACTTTGTTATGGCAGCCCTAGCAGACTAAGACATGGTCTCACGAGCCATGAGATCATGACCTGAGCCAAAGCTGGCCACTTAACCGACTGAGCCACCCGGGCGCCCCATCCCTTCCTCCTTTTTTGAGGATACCAGCCCCATTGGACTAGGATCTCACATTTATTACCTCATTTAACCTTGTATACCTCTTCACAGGCGCTATCTCCAAATATGGTCACACTGGAAGTTAGAACTGCAACATACGAATTTGGGGCTAGATACAAATATTTATAACACGCCATGTCCTATGTGATACCTGGACTCAATATCTATTCAGCAATGACATGGTTTTTAATGTTCCCCACATTTCCTGTCTTCAGTAGGCTAAGCTAATCACTGTCTGGTTTCATTAATCCTGCCTCAATAGAGGCAGCCACGGAACAGGTCATGAAAATAAGTCCTGGCTTCTCTCTTGAGTTAAAATAAATGTACAATTTCAAGCACACACTAGGTGTTGATCACGCACCAAAGACTTCTATTTTCTATCTTACTCTTTTCCTGCACGAACAAGGCCCTGACCTTGTCCTTTCTTTCCCAGTTCATAGAAATGATGGCATAGAGCAGGGGCTGACAAACATTCTCTGTGGAGGGCCAGACAATAAATAGTTTTGACTCTATGGGCCGTATGGCCTCAGTTGCAAACCGCTCAACTCTGCCATTGTATCCTGGAGGCAGCCATAGACAGGCAAGACTGGACCAATGAAACTTCAATATGGGCACTGAAATTTGCATTTCGTATCATTTTCATGTGTTACAAACTATTATTCTTCTTTTGATTTTCCCCCAAACATCTAAAAACATAAGACAATTCTTAGCTTACAGGTTGTACAAAAGCAGATGGCAGGCCAACTTTGGCCCATGGCCACTCTCTGCTATCCACCGCATAGTCTGATGGGACTACGCCTTCATGGCTTGGAGGACATCCTACCTCAGAGTCTCTGAATCCAGCCTTGAGGAAATTCATTGTAACCACCGAAGGCCCCTCCCATCATCTGCTTGTCCCTGGGGCTGAGACTGAAACATGCAAGCGGGACCGGGCCCTGGTGAAGGGCAGTGAGTGTAAGTGGGTTTGAGTAGGGGGAGGCTCTTGCCCCTACACCCCCACCACCCCACCACTCCCAAGAGGGGGCTCTAGCTGCTGGGAGACCTGAAGGCGCAGGCTTAGGATATCTGGAACCTGGACGCAGACAGCCCGGGGCCGAAGGGGCCTCCAGGGCCTCTGCTAGCACAGGTCTCTCCCTGAATTGCCCCTTCCCATTCTCTTCCCCCAGCCAAGTGCTGCCAGGGTCTTCTTCCAAAGAACAAATGCGCTCCAGGTCACGGACCCAGCCTGCTGGCACCAATAGTCTCCCTGGTCAGCAGGTCCAGAACCTCCTCAACTCGGTCCTGCACACCTCCTCGGCCTTCTCTTCTCCCTGAGGCTTTTATGTGTCGTGTCCCAGATTTCTGTCCTTCCCCTGCACTCCCCTGCCCTCCGACACGTTCCCTTTTGCCGAAGAAAGTCAGTTCCTTTCCTTTGCTTACAACCCAGAGGCCGAATAAAGGTATGAGGTTCTCAAAATCGGACCACTCTTTTACCTTTTTAAATTCTGCCCTCGGAGCATCTGGGTGGCTCACTGGGTGACCCTTGATCTCTGCTCGGTTCGCGATCTCATGGTTCTGGGGTTCGAGCCCTGCCTAAGGCTCTGCGCTGTGCTGACAGCATGGATCCTGCTTGGGAGTCTCTCTCTCCCTCGCTGGCTGCCCCTCCCCCGCTTGTGTGTGCACTTTCTCTCAAAATAAATACACTTTAAAATATGTATGTATAGGGGCGCCTGGGTGGCGCAGTCGGTTAAGCGTCCG